AGTGTCTGGTGGAAGAAGAATGATGAGTGGTGTGGTAGAATGGGTGTTGATGTGACGTTTACCGTGTTGAACCGCATTAGAACTGAGAGTTGTTTAATGCCTTTAGCTCCGATATATCGAGCCTTGAGGTTTAGTGTGGTAGATATCTAGTTGAAAAAGAGATTTTTGTGGCTAAAATAAGAAGTTTAAAATTATATTCACTAAATTGTTCTGGAAAGTATTTGCTAAATCTTGTGCGTGTTGTGCTACGCTATGATTTGTTTCGTCGTTGGTTTTTGCTGTCTGTTGGAAAGTTGATGATGTGAAGGTTGGAGGTTATGAGAAATTTGTTTTACTTTCATGTGACTCAAACGGTGAGATAGGGATTGAGCTGTTGCGGTAGTGAAGGTGTTTCCTGTAAGTTCGAGATTGGTCAGGGCCTGGGCGAGAAACATTGGAATTTGAATAGAAGAACTGTAGAAATAAAGTATTTTACGTAATTATTTTGTAACGCTGCAGCTAGAAGTTGGACTCCTATGTCGGTGATTTGATTGTGTCTAAGATCTAGTTCTCTGAGTGTCTTTGTGTAAAAGATGAAGAAGTTTGAGAGAAAGATAAGGACAATTTGCTCATACCTGGTTCTGTGCTGAATATTCAGCGAAGTACTTCGCCCCTTCATCACCGATTATGTTGTGTGAAAGTTGTAGTCTGGTAATTCTCTATATGAACGAGCCAATATGTAAATGGAAGAAAAGAACGGGTAATAAAGTTCACCTCGTTTGCGCGTAAAGCTTCACAGAGACATTGGACTCCTGTATCCCCTATTTTGTTGCTTGATAGATCCAATGTGGTGATGGTCTGTATGAAAAATTGAAGATGTAATGATAGAACTGAAGTAATATTGTGGCTCACTATGTTGTATGGCAGAAACTTTGCTAGATATCTGGTTTGTTCGTCTGCAATTTGGTTGTTAGCCAGGTTAAGTATTGTGATGGTCTATATGGGAAATAAACATAAGACTTAGGATAATCAGGAAAGTTGCGATGTACCTTGTTGTTTTTTATCACATATGCGAGGTAATAGATGCCAATAAGTCCAATTTGATTGCTAGATAGATTGAGTTCGGTCAATGTCTGTGTGAAAAAATAAAAATGGAGATAGGAAATATGAAGCGGAAGAGGCTTACAGAATTAGTTACTAAACTAGTAAAGAGATGTCTGAGGCCATCATTCCCAATTTCGTTGTAGCTGAGGTCGAGTTTTGTGAGTGTCTGTATGAAGAAACTTGGTTGTAGAAACGAGACATTAAATGATAAAATGAAGTTTACTGTGCTATGGTCTATAGCTTCAGCAATATATTTTACTCCAGTCTGGCGAATCTGATTGCTGGATAGATTGAGTATAGTCAGCGTCTATGTGAAAAAGTGAACATGTGTGTGAGAGAGAATTGAAGAAAGAAAGTTGTTTACGGTGTTTTCTCGCATAGCAGCAACTAAATGTTTTATTCCTTCGTCTCTGATTCGATTGTGGCTGAGATCGAGCGTCATAATTGTCTGAGGAAAACAATCATGTTTGAAATGAAAGAGATGAAGCGAGTGTCAAGCTCACCTTATTGTTTTTTAAAGCATTAGCTAAGTGTTGCGCTCCATCGTACCCGATTTGATTACCAGAGATATTAAGTGTAGTGAGAGTCTATATGGAAAAATAAAGGTGTACATGGGATAGATAAGAAGAGAAAGAGATTCACTGTATTGTTTGGTAGAGCAGCAGCCAGTTGTATGATGCCTCGGATCCCAATTCTATTCGATGCGATATCAAGTGCGCTGAGTGCCTATGCAAAAAGATGAACAAGTGATCTGGGAAATGATGATAGAAAGAAGTTTACTATGTTGTTCTGTAAAGCATCAGTCAGAAATTCGATTCCACTGTCTGCGATTTCATTCCACGACAGGTTGAGTACGATGAGTGTCTACATGAAAAACTAAAACTATAAGTAGAGATGTAAAGAGAGAAATATGTGTACCGCGTTATATCGTAAAACTTCAGCGAGGTGCTGTGCCCCTTCGGTTGTAATTTTATTCGATCGGAGGTTAAGTGTGGTAATTGTCTGTTTGGGAAAGTAAGGATGCAAACGGGAAAGATGAAGTGACAATAAGATTTACCGTGTTATTTCTTAAAGCATGAGCCAGACGTTTGGCACCACCGTTTCCTATTCGATTGTGTTCAAGCTTGAGTATAGTGAGGACCTGTGTGAAAAATTGAAGATGTTACGGAGTTAAATGAAAGGAAAAGACGTTCACCGTGTTATGACGGAAAGCATCTGCGAGATATTCAGCTCCATGATCTCCAATATGATTGTTCGAGAGATTGATTTCGGCGAGTGTCTACACGAAAAGATGATAATTATAATAAATAAAATGAAAAGAGAGAGAGTTGTTGACTTTGTTCTTTTTGATAGCATTAGCCAGTGACTGAACACCACTGTCTCCGATTTTATTGTAACTGAGATCGATTCTGATCAGTGTCTGTGTGAGAAAGTGAAGATGTAAACGAAGGCGACAAGGAAGGAATATAATTCACTTTGCTTTGTAGGACAACATCAGTCAGATATTGAGCTCCTTGATCGCCGATGTGATTCCTTGAGAGATCGAGTTGTGTGAGTTTCTGTAGGAGGAAAAGTAAATGCAAATGAGATAAGCAAAGAGAGAATCTGTTTCACAGTGTTTTTCCGAATCGCGTCGGCAAGTTGCTGGGCTCCTTTGTCCCCAATTTGGTTGTTGATAAGCTCAAGTTTTTCTTCTGTCTGTAAGAAAAAGTGAAAAAATACACGTGAGATATTGATAATGAAGACGATATCTATGATGAGACAAATGTAATGACAATAATGAAAGGTCGTAATCGAGTAGGACTCTTTTCTAGTCAGACTCAGAAGCTTAGAATAATTTATATTAGAGAAATGACAAACAATGAGACAATTTGTCTTAAACAAATACTGAGACAGGTTCCATTGACTGATTCCTCTAGAACTAGTTTTTGGATTTATGAACGAAAAAATGTATGTACTAGATCGTGTGAGATTGCTGTTTTGCTGCGAGTTGCTATATCCATGTGCTCGAAACGTTTCGATCTTGAATTTGAAGTGTGATCTAGGATGTGCAATTGATGTTCGAATCTGGTCTTGAGTATTAGGTGTGTTCTTGCCTAGAACTTGGTGTCGTGGATGTAAAAGTTGATCTGATATTTTTGTTTGAAGTCCGTCCTGAGAGGTATATCGGGTTTGAAATCTTGAAGATAAGATTTTTGGGAGGACTCTGGATCTCTTATATCTACCGTTCATCCTGCTTCACTCCCTTCATCGTATTGTTGTTTTGTCACTAGGAGAAGTGCAATAGTGGCTCAATCGCTTTCTCTTTCTTATTTATTGGTCATTATAAAATATTGAATAGAAGGCAAAATAAATGTCCTCTGTTTTGTGTATCGTACAATATTAAGAGAAAAGTCAGATTTTCACGGTTTCTGTCTCTTCACAGTCTATATAGATATACCGGGTGCGGCACAATGATTACAACATCTAGTGTTTTGTAAATATCTCAGCACAGGTAAATCGTATAATTTTGATTTTTTTCC